GCTTAGCCAGTAATAAGTAAAGAAATGTGTTAGTTAGGAGCTGTAGAAGACACCAGAAAATCCTTCTAACAAGAACTCAAGCTCAGTGACCTTCAAGCATGAATACAAAACAGTTCCCAAAACTGTCTCGCTGCGTTTTTTTCCTAGTTCAGGTGAATTACCCTTCCCACGAATTAATTTTCAGTCCTTTGTTTTATGGTTAGAAATAACAGCTGATAAGCTTTAATTGCTATTTCCTTAAGCGCTTGCTTCTTGGTGGACATGGAACAAACTCTGCATATGAGTAGAACTCTCCATGCAACAGCCGCGTGCACAGTCCAGGAGGAGAGCTGGTACCATGGGGATCCTGACACCGCATCCATGCAGGCAGTGCCGCGCAAATTGCAGCCCTGGGCTCAGGGTTGGAGGATCCGACCACAGTTATACAGCCCTCTGTTATACAGGCAGCGGTACAACAGCATCGCTCTCAACCTGAAGGAGCACCAGGCACGAGGCCGCTGGGGAAAGACGAGCAAACCAAAAGTGGATGTGGCTGCTCTCATTGAAAAGAAAAGTGGCCTACTCCAAAGGGGATTAGGCTAAAGTGAACTACGGCCACTTTACTTCTGAATGAGAGCATCCACACAATAGCGCAATGCGCTTTAACTAATGCACTTTATTTTTACACCCAGGCAATTTGTCTTACCTCTCCTGAGTGTCCTTCTGCAGACTCGCCCCAGGACCCATCGAGTTCCCAGGCCAGCACGAGCCTTCGAGCAGCCCCGCAGGCCACTGCATTTCCCTTCAATCCCATGACAGCCAACACGCAACTGGGGAGAGAGAGCTGGGGAGAGATGCTTCCCTGGGGTAGATGGGGTTCTCTCATGCTCACAGAGACCAGGCCCTGAACTACACCACAGCAAGGCCCTCCTGCAGCCATCAGCCTGCAGGGCTCCTGCTCTCACCTACATCCCCAGGCTAGGCTGGATCTTATTTATTTACCCCTTTCTCGCAGGTGGTAAACAGGGAAAAGCAACCAAGCTAAGAAGGCAGCTGAAGGCTGGCGAGTTGTCTTGAAGCTGCATCACAAAATATCAGTGGTGAGAGAGATACCAGGTCATTAATCAGGGACAGAAATACGTCCAAATAACACAAAACACAAAATGTGCGCTCTATTAGAGGTTGGAGTCACCCTCTCCAAAACACTGTTGCAACGGCAGGGAAATAAAAAAAAACAACCAACCAACCTAAACAGTCATTTACAAATTTGCTGGGTGAGTCAAAGCCTGTTACAAGCAACTGAGCATCCGGGGAGCGAGGGAACGCGCCAAGGACACGCGATGGTACGGCAGCACACCCGGCTCTCCTCGCACACAAACCCTGGCTGGGAAACGACTCCAGAAACGTTCCACAACTTTAATGTCTGGTTAGGAACAATCTTCATCTTTATTTTCTGAAATTTGTTTAGATTATACAAGATAGCTCCTCACTGCGAGCTCATGTGACCAAAAAAGCCCCAAACGCAGCAATGCAAAACAAAGAGGAGACTCTCTAATTTAAAGAAGCTGTGCCGGATTTTCGCTGTGTTTTAAGCTGCTTTTTTAAAGCAGTATTTATCAGTGCGATACTCGTTTTGATTGAGCGCGTTATAATCTGATTTTTTCAGTGCTAACATCACCCGCTCCGGGATCCAGCAACCCGTGTGCATGTGCGGGGCCCATTGCTTTCACTGCTACCTGCATACGGTTAGCGAGGGAAGAATCAAACCTGTGCCCAACCAGGACTAAACCTAAAGCAAAGCTCATTTTGCTCAGCTCATTTCCAAGCTGCCCCAAAAGAATAACCTGCAGAATAACCGCGTTCCGAATCGCGATGACACCGCGAGCTCCCGCTTACGGGAATGCTTTGGGGCAGGTTGGCGGATGTTTATGACAAGTCCCAGAGTTTCCTGGCTGATTTTAAAACAGATATTGGAGAAAAAAAAAAAAAAAGAAAAGGAAAATCGAAATTCTCCTTTGCGAAGTTCAGTTTAGAAAACTTCATACGAGAGCTGGACCTGAGCACGGAAGGCTGCGAGTATTCCACCCAGCAGTGAGGATGAATACGTTCGGTCTCACAAGTGATTATAACAAAAAAATAAAAATCAGCAGAGATTCTTGCATTCAAACAAAATAACAGATGAGAGAAAATACATTCAAAGCTGTATCTCTTTAACAGCTTATTTACTTGCTTTAAGAAACCTGCTTTTGCTAACGCCATTGCAGCCGCAGTGCTCCTGATGGGAACAGGCCCTGAATAGAAATGAACGCGCCCTATCTTTTACTTTATGCAGCCTGCTCAGCTCCTAAATACTGCGGGAAAAAAGAAGCAGCCCCCAAAAAGACATAAAAAGGACTCATTGGCTCAATGTGGCATAAAGTCAGGGGCACAGCTCTCTATTTGGAGGTTTGGAAATACTGTTTTACCGGCTCTCCTCCACGTCCCACATCACCGTAACGCTTTCATTACGCAGAACCGATCTCTGCCTTGCACTCTCAGTGCTGCATCTGCCCGCTCCTCCAACATGGGAGTACGCACTGCAAAGGCAGTAACATGTGCAACTTTTCTCACCCCTTGACGCCATACATGCGTTTGAAAATACCTGCAAGGAACTCCCAAAGTAAAGCAGTATCTCTTCACCTCCTTTATTTTTTTTCCCCTCCACCAAAGGCATTATTTTAGCACTGTCTGTAGCAAGCTAGAACCAATAGGTCTGAATATTCAGAGAAGTTATTGTAGTTGGAACGAGTGGATGCCCTCACTGGCCCATCCACCTCCATGCGCAGCACACAGCACATCCCAGTTTATGATACTATCTTCGTAAAGAACATCACATTTAAGCAACATTTCCACCCCTCACGAACATCACTGTCTATCTGCATTTTGTTTGCAGAACCTCTCCAACTGCACGCATTAAAAACACCTACTGCAACATAAATACAAGTGTTTGCTTTACGATATACATATATATATATGTATGATATACAATCACCCAAGAAGGGCCATCTAAAACACCACAGTTGCAAACATTTAAGACTGTAACAAAAATGACTGCGACTCCAGTATCGGTTTACTATCCTTCAACAATTTCCCTGACAGTGGAGTCAAATAATGTTGAATTATGGACCTTCTTACAGGAAGTCTTATTTCACGTTCATTTTTTGATCATTTCCCCCTGCGTACCTATCGGAATCCGACTGTTTGCCGTTTCTACTTAACACATTTCTGCAGCTGACATTGGCTTGTATGTGATTCAATTATAATTTGGCCATGTAACGCTGCTCAACAAGTTTATTTCACCTAAGCAAAGCCCATTTTACCCCTCAAAAAAGCCATCTTATGTTGCTAACGTACTTTGAGTGCGGTGGCCACTCTGTTCCCTGCTTCCCTTAAGAGAGGCTTTATCCAGACATACTCCAGGGAAGCGTATCTGCAAAAAGCCCAATTTTACAGCTCAGATTTGAGCACCTGGGAGCCAAGGTGAAGAGCTTCCACCACCCGGCCCCTGGGAGCCGTTCAGAGGATCTGGAGTCCCTAAGAAATGCAATTCCTTCTGTGAGGGTGGGGTTCCGCACAGGACCGACTTTTCCCATCTGCATCACGCAACAGCTGTGTTTTAAATCTTTCCGGGCTACGACAAACATTTGAAAATTTAAACACGCCAATGTTTGAAAAGCTAATGATTAAAAAAAAGGTTTATTTTGAAACTCCGGCAATGGGCGAGAGGGTTCAGCGAGGGGTTTAGAGCCACGCTCCCCAGCTCGGTGCTCCCAGGCGAAACCCCAACTCCTGCCCTTTCCTTCTGGAAGCAGCAGCCCGGCGGGTCCCACCCTGGCAGGCAGCGGGGTCGCGCCTGCGGGAGAAGGATGCTATTGGAGTGACCTCTGGCCAGCGCGCCAGTTAAATCACCGAACAATGGCCAGCGTTATGGGGCTTTCCTGCGCAAAATCTGGCATTAGTGTCACTGCCTTCCATTAAGCGGGGGGACTTAAAGGCGCTGGCACGGAGGGGCCTAGGAGGGAAGAATAAATAAGGGGAAACCAATAAATTAAAAAAAAAAAAAAACCCTGTTAACTGTAACCTTTACTACCACAATATACGAAAATGTAATTAAACCCATCATAAAAGCTTTTACATACTTACTCTTTTATGACTCTCGAAAGCACAAAGGCGCGCAGCCCGCGCGCACCGCGCACCTCCCGCAATAAACGCACCGCGCGGGGACATCCTAATTAGCCGCAGCGGCGACGAGCACTCAACACCCCATTAGCTGCCCATTAGGGCCCAGATCCTGCCTGCCCCGGCCCCGACGGCGCCGCGTCCCCGGGCAAAGCCCGCGGCTCTGGGCTCGGTCGCGCAACGTTGCGCCTTTTCCCTTCCGCGGGGCTGCGCGCTTCTTGCGCGGGGAGCTCCGGGAGAACGGCCGGCCCCGCGCAGCGCCCGCGCTCCTCGGTGAGGTGTAGGGGGGACCGTAGGACGGGAACCCCCTCACCCCCAACAGCCCCCAAAACTGCAGCTTCGTTTCTTTAGCTTTCGCTTTAATAAAATAATGATTCGTTGGGAAAATGGGGTATAAATCTTCATTTTGGAGGCAATTAAAGTGTTGATTTCATTCGTGCCCCTAAGCGATTCTTGTAATTTGCTCAAATAGCTTTATGTACCCAGCACTCAGAGCTTTTAGAAACCCATTTTCTAGTTAGACTTGTTGGATTACAATTCGGATACAACGGCGACGAGGCCGGCTCTCCCCATCCCGAACTCGGCCGCAGGAACCCCCCATCACCCCCCGCGGGGCAGCGGCATCCCGGGAGGCATCGCCCCGGTCTCCCCCCAGCGCCAAACGCCGCAGTTTTTCCCCTTCGCAACGCTTCGAGGGCACAAAGCCCGCAAGTAGGAGCCCCCCATCTCTCCTCCCCTCATCCCGCAGCCTGAGTTGCGGGGGGAAATACTGGAGCCAGTGCCCCCGCCGCGATGCAACGCACCTTTCTGCCGGGCTCTACACACAACTCCTGGCGGTAATGGCATAAGCGGTTGAAGGGAACCGCTGTCTGCTCGGCTGTGCCTTCCTTTAACAAAAGGAAACCTCCAGAGTCGGGAGCTGATTGCTCCTAACACCGTATTTACGGAGCGGATCATACGGGAGAAATAACTTGGACTTCCAGAGGCGGCTGCCGCCGGTCCCCCACCCCTCCTCCCTTTACCCCCCCATCCCCCTCGCTGCCCTCCGCTCGAGCGGGCAGAGAAAGCCGACCCGAAAAAAAAAGAACCAACTCGCAGCCACCTCCGTTCTGCTCCCGACTTCCCGAGCCCGGCGCTCCCGCACGGGGAGAAGAGAGAGGGGCACACGGCGACGCGGGGTGGGAGAAGGGGAAAAGCTCCTTGCAGCCCCCCCCGGTGCCCCCCCACGGGCACAGCAGCGCAGAGCTCCGCGCAGCACAGCCCCGACCTGGCACGGCCAGAGCCGCTCAGCGCCTCGGGGCTTCGCCT